TATATTCTCGATTCACTTGTTTTATAACTAATTGAGAATCTCCATGAACCACTGCTAACTTCACTCGAAGTTTGATTAAGGTTTCTAAACCTAAAATTAATACCTCATATTCAACTTTATTATTTGAGCATACTGGCATTATTTGAAATAATAACTTTATAGGGATATTTGTGGAGAAATAATAACAATTCCTACTCCCATTTCATTCACTATACTAGAACCATCAAAATATAATATCTAACTATTTGTTTCCACATGATATATTTCTTCCATTTCAAAATATCGAATTGTAATGAAAACTCAATTAACGCTACTACCCATTTATCAACTCGATATGCATAATAAGCTTAAATAATAATAACTTCAATATATTGTTCTTTGAAAAAATAATTATATTGCAAGGCTTAAGATAATGTTTAAGCTTACAACAAGAATAAAAAAGATATACAATCAACTTTTCAACTGCACTGTATTAAGTTTCAACATCTATTAACAATCAACTCAAGTAATAAATATCACACTCACTTTACTCCATTTGAATCTTCTTGAACCAACATGCTTGTTATAGTATTTTCTGATGCTGAAACATGTAATTTCTATGACCTTCCTCGATTCATTTGAATTAGCACAAGAGGATTGCTCAATGCTTGCTTTTTTTTTTCTTGAAGACTTCTTGATGCTCTCAATCCACATAAACTCATTCTCTTTCTTTAATCTCAATAATGAAGAGAAAACATATGTCTTACTTGCCAAATTCGAAAAAAATCTTTTCAAATAATTAATTTTCCCAATAAAGATTGTAATTCTTTTTTATTTCTTGGAACACTAGTTTTGATTATAGCTTTTGCTTTATTTTAATCAATTTCGATCCATGTTTCATGAACAATAAATCCTAAAAATTCTCTAACCACTATTACAAAATATGCTTTCAACGTCCGAGTACTTTAAAGTTGAAAGTTGATACTCCAACCACTAAACTACTGTAATTTTCTCGATAATAACTTACAAATTAATTATATTTATATACAAATAAATATATATTCCGTATAAATATATATTTATTTATATTTTCTCGGAAAGTGTTTTTATTTTTTTTCACCAAAAATTCACTTAAGTTAGAGAATTGTCAGCGACGAGATTCGAACCTAGTATTTTAGAATTGAAAGCTAATACTCCAATCACTAAACTACTTGTAATTTTCCGATAATAACTTACGGATAAGTTATATTTATATACAAATAAATATATATCCGTGTAAATATATATTTATTTATATATATTTTCTGGAAAGTGTTTTTATTTTTTTCAGTAAAAAATTCACTTAAGTTAGAGAATTGTCACCGATAGGATTCGAATATAGTATTTTAGAGTTGAAAATTAATACTCCAACCACTAAACTACTATAATTTTTTGATAATAATTTACAAATAAATTATATTTATATACAAATAAATATATATCCGTGTAAATATATAAATACAAATATATTTATATATTTTTATGTTGGATGTGAGGGCGCGATCGAGGGTGAAAGTGAGATTGACTCTCGTTTGAGTGAAAATACGTTAAAGCTCACGAAATTCACTCGTTCAAGCCTAGCTTGAGCGAAAATTGGTATTTTTCGCTTGAGCGAATGTGTCACTTGAGCGAATGATGCGTTTTTCAAATTTATTTTATATCATTATATAAATAAATTATAAATATTATATTCTGTCATTAAATTACAAACCCATATATAGAGACTCGCTCACAAATTTGACATTAAATTTTGAAAACCCACTCGACACACACTTTCACCTTCGAGCGTGCCCTCACATCCAATATATAAATATATAATTATATAAATATATCAAAATATATAAATATATTTGTATTTATATATTTACACGGATATATATTTATTTGTATATAAATATAATTTATTTGTAACTTACTATCAAAAAATTCGAGTAGTTTAGTGGTTGAAGTATCAGCCTCCAACACTAAGGTACTGGGTTCGAATCCTGTCGATGACAAAAAAATAATTTGGTAATGCTTTAAACTTAAAAAAAATATGATAAATAATAAAAATATAATATAAAAGAGAGGGGGATTTCTAGATAAATAGAAGGGTTGGAAATGTTGGAAATAAATAAAAAAATTTAATTTGAAAAATCGGACTTTCAACGTCGGTTCTATTTAACCGACGTTGAAAGTCTTAACTTTCAACGTCGGTCGACGTTGAAGGCCTTATTTGTAGTAGTGAACATTCACTCTAAAAGCACATTTTAAAATTATTACTTCACATTCTTTCAAAGGTCTCGTTTTAATTTATCGATATGAAATTCTCTCAATTCAAGTTTAATTACAATATTATCTATGTATACTTGCATAAAATCTCTGATTAAATCATGAAAAATTAGATTCACAATTATTTGATATGTTACTACAATATTTTTTAAACTAAAAGGCATTACCAATCATTCATAAGTATCTAATGCTCCAGGGTTTCAAAAAATAATTTTCAATATCATTTTTGGTAATAAAATTTTAGTTATATCCAAAATATCCATCTAAAATACTTAACATTTCATTTTCTACCATAACATCGATTAACATTTCTGAAACCAGCATAGGATATTCATCTTTTGGTGTTTTTTTTTTAATCTTTAAAATGGATACAAATTCTCCTTTTTTTCATTCTTCTTAATAAGTAGAACAATATTAGAGATCCAATTGACATACCTGGTTGTCCTTATAAATTTGGCTTTCAACAACATTTGAATCACTTCTTTGATTTTCTCCATGACATCTAGTGTAAATTTTCGTGGAGCTTGTTTAGCTGATTTCTTTCCTTCGATTATAGGCAATCAATATTCTACTAAACTTCTATCAAGTCCTTCCATTTCATCATACTCCCATATGTAAAACAATCTTTATGTTTTTTTAGCATATTCACCAATTTCTACAAGAGTTTGGAGTTTGTTTCCAATTAGGCATACCCTAAGGGTGTCTCTTGGCTATTGGCACCCCTTGATTATTTCGTTGCATAGATGAACTAGTCTCACTCATATTATTTTCTCCTAAATTTGGAAAAGGTCTATTCATAGTCATATGGGGTCCAGCGTAAGTAGTTATTGAATTACTTATTGATTACATTATTGATGTTCCTTGACTACCTTGAACTTTTCGATCAATCATATTTCCCTGAATAGTCTCGCTCAATGGATTGTTCCTAGTACCCACATTTTGTCCTTCATTATTCTGATTCGTATTATTGTGTGTTGTACTTGATACTAATACAGAACTAAGTATATAATTGTGCGTATTTTGACTTGACATAATGACCGTGTCATTTCTTAATATTATACACTATCTTCATGCAAATTCTCTAAAACTAGTCAATTTAGATGGTCCCACTAGGCATGTCAATTTGTTTCTAGTGAAAAATGGTTCTCAATTGTCCAATATTTAAGACGTGCCACTTTTTCAAGATGAATCAACTTTCCAAAATGAACCAATTTTTCACTTGGTGTTCTTTTTGTTTAGATTAGCAAGTAAAAACTTTTCAATTTAGAAAATGTTTCAATTAAACTTAGAACACAACCATGGGGATCATTCAACAATTAATACGAAGTCAACTTTTATCAGGGATCTTTCACATAATAATTTGATGAAAATATTTATAAAATTTTCGTGATTATAAATTTTGATTTTCAATATTAATTCAAACATTAAAGTGCGAAAATATAAATGATAATAAGTGTAAATGTATGAGAAATGTAAATTATAGGAGTGTAAATGTGCAAAAAAAAATGTACAAGAAAGGTAAATGTGTTAAAAAAATAAATGTGTGCAAAAGATAAATGTGCGAGAAGAGTAAATTACCAAGAATAAAACAAAAACCGATAAAGAAAATTAATAAAAGTGGTGACTTAAATTGTCAAGAATTCCATTAGAATAATTTTTTCTTGTCCGTGGCATCTTTTCAAAACGTAAATATCTTAATACAATTTGTTATTACCCCTTAATTACACTTATTTGATCCTATTTATACTTTATTTTGTTTAACTCGCTAGGAAAATAAAATAAAATAAAATACAAATAAAAACAAAAACGACTTCTTCTCTATTAACCATTTTCCCCTCCTTTTTGAGTAGTTATATGGTCACATGTTACACTTGTAATCGTCCCCGTCATGTTATGGAGTTATAATTGTTTTTGTCACATTGTAAAATTATAACCGCTTATGCATACTTCTTAAATTTTATAACTCTTTTTCGATATCTCCTTTGTTTTTCTAAGTCTTCAATTTCATCGTTTTGTCTTTCTCTCCATTTTCCCTTCTATCATTATGAACTTTCGATTAACTAATTTTTTGATTTACACTTTCGTTCACTTATTTCTCTCAATCTTAATTTTCTCTACATCTATAGTTGACTCTTCGATTTCTTACCTTTTTTATTGTTCGAATTCTCTCAATATTTGTCATCGCAATTTCGATTTTTATCATCTCAATCATCGATTTTTTCCTTGAACTTCAATATATTTTCACCTAATTTTTTTGATATATTTATAAATTTGTCATAAACACAACTATACTCTCTCAAATTTATATCTATTACATCCAATGTCTTTGTTATATTATATTAAAATCTTGTTTATAATATATTTTCCCCTTGTTCCATAACATTGAAAATTAATTTGGCAGTTAGTATAATTTTCTTTCTCTTCAGAAACTTTTAAGCTAATGGTTTATCTAAATAGTCCCTGTAATGTTATAAATTATGGCATATTATGTAGTCTTTTAAAGATTTTTGTTTTTTTCAAAATAATCCCCAAAAAATATATGAATTTGGAGACAAAATTTATGGATATTCAATTAACGTATCGATTTAGAAGATAGAATAATAGCTAAACTGATAATTTATTCAATTTATTAACATTCTATAGTTTATTTTGACTATGATTTTGGTTATCAATGTTGTTCAATCAATCTCAATCTACAGAGTTTTAATCAAATGGAAGGAGAATCAAGTGATTTAGTGAGTGAACAACAAATTTTTGGAGAAAAATTGACCAACATGGTTCGTGGTGTGGAAACTCAAGAAAAATGTGATGGGAGTGAGCAATGCATTTATAAGGTACCACAAAAATTCGTAAAAATAATCTAAAATCCTACACACCTCGAATTCTTTCCGTTGGCCCTTTACACAAACTTGAATTTTTGTCACTTCTGATCCAATAACAATTCCAGTTTCCTATCAGATTGGTCTTAAGCATGTTTTAAAACACTGTTAACACTATCGAATTTGAGGGTGAAATGAAAAATCTAATTACATCTTAGTCTTTCTATTTTACTGGCTGAAATTTCCCTTTTTTTTATCTGTATATTATTTTTATCATATGAAAAAATGTATTATTAAGAGTTATGCTAGCAATAACTATAGTCAACTGTGACGGCTGGAACAAATCAATTTCATAAGCAAGCTTTTGAATTGGTCCCACACGGTGTTGACTGTAGCATAGACGACTTCTTCCATTTAAAAGGGCTTGTTTTAGGATGAATGAGAACAATCTGATGCAGTGGCCTATCATTTCAAAATTTCAAGAGTGGTTCAAGTTGTGCATAAAGTGAATGAAGATTATTCCTTAACAACTTCACCAACAGGTTCCTTCTTTTTCTCTATTATTTTTTTTCTCTACAATTAAGATTTAATGATCTTTTGAGATGATATTAGTTTGATGTTTCTATTTGGAGTTTAATATTACAGTAACTTTGTATGTTTTACCCCTAACCATAACTTTTATTGGATTATATAATACTTTATCCAACTTAAGTTCATGTTTTTTTATCTATAACTGTCCCATGTGGTGTTAGGGAATATTATGGAAATGGAGGAACAATCAAATAGTAATTCACACAGTCAAGCCCAGTATTTAGAGACTGAATTGACCAAGAAGCTTCAAAATGTGGTTGTAGAAATGCCTCAAGTGAATGAGCAATGCATTTATAAAGTACCACAAAAATTTCGCGAAGGTAATCCCAAAGCCTTTACTCCTCAAGTTGTTTCCATTGGCCCGTTTCACAAACAGTGTGACTTTAATGGAGAGAACAACACTTTGAAGCGAATGGAAGAACTCAAACTGGAATATCTCCAGAGATTTCTAAATCGAAACAGGCAGTTAAGTATAAAGAATGTGTTTCAAGAACTTATTGAGAAGGAAAACCGAATTCGAAGTTGTTATGCAGAGCCTATTAATTGCAACAGTAATGATTTCTTAACTATGACTCTAGTTGATGCTTGTTTTTTAATTGAGCATTTTCTTAGATTTTATACAGACTTGGCTTCGATTGAAAGAGACCTTTTGTCAAAATCATGGTTGGTAAATGATGTTATTCATGACCTGACACTACTTGAAAACCAACTTCCTTTCTTTGTTCTTGAAGACATATTCAACTCTGCTAAACCTAGCATGATAGTTGAGTTTCCCTTTAAGCATGTTGATTACATGGATGAATTCATTGGCCCTATAAGAGATGTTGAGTCTCTCTCATTTCTTAGTATTACCTTTCACTATTTTAGGCGATACAACTATATGAACATAAATGAAAACACAATTGAGAGTCCAAAACACTTCACTGATCTTCTAAGAACTTTCATGCAACCATCAAAAATTCCTCATGAAAGACTGAAAGTAGGTTATATGGTTAAACATCTACCGAGCGCAAGCCAACTATCAGAGGTGGGTTTGGTATTCAAGGCTACTTCTAGCAAATGCTTGTTTGACATCAAATATCACCATCATAGGGGTGTAATGGAAATGCCATGCTTAACTGTTGAAGACAGAACTGAGACATTGTTCAGGAATATACTGGCATTAGAGCAATGTCACTACATACTTTCACCCAACATTACTCAGTACTTATTCTTTCTTGGTTTTCTTCTCAACACTGAAAAAGATGTGAACTTACTAATTGACAAGAAAATTATAGTCAATTGGATGGGTGATGCTAGTGCTGTGGCCAAAATGTTTAACAATCTTTGCTCAAATGTTATTGTGTCATATATTAGTGAAGAGTATTGTACACTGTATGATGACTTGATTAAATTCCATGAAAATCCTTGCAACAAGTACAAGGCTATCTTTTATCATGAGTACTTCAACACTCCATGGAAAAAGGCATCTACAACAGCTGCAGTTCTACTGATTTTACTTACTCTAATTCAAGCTGTTTGTTCAGTCATCTCATTATTTTGAGGGTAAGAAATTATAATACAATAAATCCTAACTACATTGTCCTGATTTTTCTTGTTATTTAATTAGCAAATAGTAACTTACCACGTGTAGTGTAGGTATTCATAGAAGGAACAACGTATTTTGAACACAACTTTCTAAAGGCACTTATTATATGTATCTATCTCTCGACAGAAGAAAATGCCATGGTCTCATATAGAGTCGGATGATTAGCCTTATTCATTTGCAGAAGGAGAAAACTAGAGTTCCTGCATTGTGCTACTCTATTTCATTATGGCCTCATATAATATCAGCTTCAGCAGTTAGACTAGATATTTATTATGCATAAAAATCCAAACAAAAGTACATCCATTTGTAACCAATATATATGTCAAGAGTGTTTCTCTTCCATATGTGAAAATCTTTAGTAGAAGATGTACCCACCTTAGAATCAGCAAAGGAAAACGTGGATATTTGAGTTTAAAAGTAAGTAGATCGTTAATTTCTTTTTCTCATATAAACATGAAAATTATTAAACTTTATTCCTAAAAAACCTTATAAAAAAATGTATTCCATCAAATTACAAATGTTTTTTCCAACTTATAAAACTAGGTGTGGTTTAATTCTCTTGTGTAAGATACACAGATAAGTTAGTGTATTTATATTAAAAAATACATACAAAAAGTATGGTTTAGGCCCATTTCATGATTATTACAAATGATATTATATCAATAATATCTAAAAATATTTAATCATATCTAACACTCACCCTTAAGATGGTGCATATAAATATATGTACTAAGTTTGTTATAAATATAATCAATTTTAAGTTCTCGTAAAAACTTAATAAAAATATTTGTTAATTGATAATTTGAGTTAACAAACACAGTCTTTATTTCATATTTAGTATTTTCTCAAATAAAAGGACAATTGATCTCAATGTATTTTATCATTTCATGAAAGACAGGATTAAAGCTATATGAAGAGCAATATGATTGTCACATATAAATGTCATTTAAGTGATATCTCCAAATTATAACTCTTTACGTAATTGTTTAAGCCAAATAAGTTCACAAGTGGGACGAGACCATAACTCTACATTATGTTATTGCATTAGATCTTGCCATAACATTTTATTTATTGCTCTTCCAAGAAATCAAGTTATTACCAATAGAGATACAATATCCGGAAGTGGATCTTCTATCAGAAGGAGATCTTGTCCGATCAACATGTGAATAACAAACAACTTTAGTATGGTTATTGTGACTATATAGAAAACTTTTTTCAGAAGATCCTTTAATGTACTTCAGTATGTGAATGACTATATTTCAATGATATGCACATGGGGAATTAAGAAATTGACCAAACTAATTGCAAAGAAAATATCAAGATGAGTAACAGTGAAATAATTCAACTTTTCAACTAATCTTTTGTACTTCTCAGAATTTAATAAAGGCTCCTCCTAATTAGATAGGAGCTTGGTATTGAAATTAATGGGTATGTCAGCAGATTTTGAGTTCATCAACCAATTTTCTTCCAAAATATCTAATGCATACTTCCTTTGAGATATAACAATACCATTGTTGGATTGTGCTACTTCAATTTCCAAGAAATATCTGAGTCTGCCAAAATCTTTAATCTGAAAGTGATAACAAAGGTGTTGCTTCACCTATGAGATGTTATAGTGGTCACTTCCAGTAGGAACCATGTTATCAACATATACTATTAGATAGAAACACTCATCACTAGATTGAAGATAAAAAACTAAATGACCTGGTTCACTATGAGTCATACAAAATTGTTGAACAACACTGCTAAATTTTCCAAACTATACCTTAGGAGAATATTTGAGACTGTATAAAGATTTAGGAAGACAACATACTAATATAGAAGACTCCCCCTGTGCAACTAAACCTGGAGGTTACTCCATATAAATTTCTTCTTACAAATCTTCATTAAGAAAAATATTTTTTATATCTAGTTGGTATAGAGGTCATCGTTGAAAAACAACCATAACTATAAATAAGTGAATAAAAACCATCTTTGCCACTAGAGGAAAAGTATCAGCATAATGCAGACCAAAAATTTATGTGTAACCTTTGGCCACAAGGAAAGATTTGAGACGATCAATAGTATCATCAAGACCAACTTTGATAGCAAAAATTCACCTACAACTAATAAAAAAAATTCAGACAATAATGAGACGAGCTCTTAAGTTCCACTATTTTAAAGAGAACTTATTTCGTCAAGTATGGCTTGATGCCAACTAGGATGAGCTAAGGTATCACCTACTAATTTTGGAATTGACACAGAAGAAATAGACGAAAGACAGTTATAAAAAAGTTTAGATTATTTATGGTAACTTAAATCAATATAATGAGGAGAGAGATTATAGTAAGCACATACCTTTATAGAAGGCAATTGAAAGTTCTAGCTCAGTTGTCAAAGCCTAAGGGGATGGAGGAGTTGGTACTAGAAGTGAGTCATTTGTTGACTGATGGGTTAGTGGAGGTGGGGAATCTTGAGGTATACTAGACACAATAAAAGGAAAGGTTGGTGAAGGTGAGAGATATTTAGATGCATTAGATAAAATAAGAGAAATCATAGACAATAGGGATATTAATTGTATAAGAAGGAGATATAGGAGGAGAAGAAGGAGACTTAAAGTAAAGGAAAGACATTATGAAGGTGATATATGCTGAAATGAAATAGCAACTAAGAGAATGAGAGAAACATTTATATTTTTTTTATTAGAAATGTAGGCTGAGATCAAGAGGGGGGTGAATTGATCTTTTGAAACTTTTTCGCACTTGATGGATACATATTTTCTATTTCAAAATATTAAGAAGTCTGACCAAGAATTGATCCAAGAAACACAAGCAGAATTGTATAAAGTACAAGCAAAATTAAAGAGTGTATAGGAATAGAAAAAGAAACATAAGAATTATATTCACCCAAACCACAGGACTACATCCAGTTCTCAACCAAATTTCAGTTGAGTTTCACTAGATTGATTATGTTTTTTATTACATACCTGAATTACAAAACACCCAACCTGCACCAAGAACCAAATTTCAATTCTTACATCAAACCTTCACCAAGAACCAAGTTTCAATTCTTGAACCAACCTGCAACCAAATTTCAACTGCAGAACCAGTGCCCAAATCTTCCAAACACCCACACAATACAGATATGAATTAACAAAAACAAAGAGAAGAAACTAGAACAACCAAACCTAGTTATGCAAATGCAATTCTTCCTCTGCAGAATGAGTTTCTTCACATGCAAGAATGCAAAAATGTCTCAAGAAAGAACTTTGAAAAACTTCATAGAAACTAGTGCACTTCTTCCTTGAAAAGATCTCTATTGATTGCTTGACTGATATCTCAAAAGGTGTGTTTAAAATGTTGAAGCAAATATATTTATATAGATATTTTTCTAACAAACTGATTTAATTAATCAGTTAAAACTTCTTTTAATCGATTACTAATTCTTGATTAATCGATTAAAACTTCTTTTAATCGGTTAAAATGTGTTTGACCATTTTCCAGATTTATTTTAATTGATGCAAATGTGATTTAATCAATTAAAATAGTTACACAAAAATTCCCTAAGTCATTTTAATCGATTGATTCGCGATTTAATCGATTATAATACTGCCATAAAAATTCTCAAAACTTTACAATTGATTTTAACTGATAAAAGCATGATTTAATCGATTAAAACATTTGACAAAAACTTCTTTAATTTGATTTAATCAATTAATTCGATGTTACATCGATTAAAATTCTGACAGAACATTTTTTAAAACTTCTCAAGTGATTTTAATCGATTAATTCAAAGTTACATCGATTAAAATACCTGACAAAACATTTTTCAAAACTTTTCAAGTGATTTTAATCGATTAATTCGAAGTTACATCAGTTAAAATACTCGACGAAGGTTTTCAAATACATCTATAATGAAAATAATCGATTACTTTGAATGTGAAATGATTTTAATCGATTATTTCGAAAATACATCAATTAAAACTTTGTCAAGAATGTGACTAGCTGATTTTAATCGATTAATCTTTAAGTGTATCAATTAAATCTTTAATATTAAGAACATATTAATCGATTAAACTGATTTTTAATAGATTAAAACGTTTAGAGACATTTTAAATTCTTTCAAATGATGAAACCTTATACAACAGAGAAGAATAAATTATTATACCTATTAATATTGATGCAGACTCACTAATCACTATACCTTTTAACCCAAAGATCCTTTGACTTCATCAAATCTTTAAGATCTCCAATCAACATATAATTCAATAAGATCTTCATCACTATCATTTTTGTTATCTAGTGAATCCTAAAAAGACACAATTTTGTGACCTAGGAGATAATTTATTAAGACCAAAACTAAAATTATGAACAAAGCATGTGATCCCAAAAACTTTAAGAGATCAGGAATGGAGATGTTTGTGAGAAAATAAAATAGAATGAGAAATTTTGTTAGTTAAGATCGAAGATGACATGCGATTAATGAGATAACATGCAGTGAGAACAATATCACCCCAAAAATACTGAGGGAACTCTCCAAGGATTAAAATTGTGTGAGTTATTTCAACAAGATGTTTATTCTTATGTTCAACTACCTCATTTTGTTGAAGTGTATAAGCACATGAGGTCTAATGAAGAATGTCATGAGAAACCATAAAATTTGTAAAAAAATGTGAAAGGTACTCACGACCAATATCACTGTACAAAGTTTGAATAAATAGTCCAAATATATTTTTAATTCTATTGTAAAAGGATTGAAAAATAACTATGAATTGGTCCCCAAATGTCAAAGTGAACTAAGGTAAAAGATGACGAAGCACGTTGTGAGACATTAATAGGAAAATAACTATGACTATGTTTTCCTAATTAACATGGCTCACAAAACAAACTTAATAAATTTGACACACTTGTAACAAGCTACTTCCTCCTTGCAATACTAATATGACCTAGCTGAACATGAATGAGAGATGTAAAATT